CCTCTAACGTTCATCATCACCCCCAGCTGTGACCATAACGTGCATTTCCCTCCTGCCACCAAGAAGCAACTTTTTTCCAGGGCAACTACAGAGAAACTGCAAGAAATTCATCGTAGTTTTTTATTTATAGGGAAATATTCTCATCCCTCTTCACAGATAAATTTTCATACTAAAATGAACCAAACAGTATTGTGCAGAGATAAGAATTATTAGTTATTAATTAATTATTTCATGAGAGCGCAATATGTTTTCTCTTTGAAGCCTCGGAAACAGTATCATACACAATATTATTGGTTCTGGTAGTCCTCGTGTCGTGTTCAGAGAGTAATTCCCAGATTAATCATACTATTTGAAATATTAAAAAGGGGCTGGCTGCTACATTTGATAATTACTAATTTCTAAAGATTTATGATACATAAATCCCGAGTTTCGGAAATTATAAAGAAGAAATTGCTGCTGCAGAAAAGTAAGGAAACAATTCACTGCATGGTTTTGTCTTTATTATTTTGTACCTTTCTTAAGGGAGAGGGGTCTCTGAAAATTTGAGAGCCACTCCTGTTTATTTTATAGGAATAGATAACTCAGCTTTTCTTCTGATGGTCAAAGATAGTGAAAGCTGACCCGGATAGTAATTTTTTCCCTCCCTGCTTTTCTGCCACACAACAACGAAACACAAATTAAAGGAATAAAAAGCAGCACAAGCTCTGAGACCACGGCAAGGCAAAGGATCACACCTAGAGAACGAGAAAACGTCAGCTCTGCGAACATACCGTGTTTCTTTCCAAACTTCCAGTACCACGGTGGGTTATTGCAGGGTTTTAGCATCCAGAAATACATAACCGAATTCAAACAGCCAGGATATTAATTAACGGCATGTATTTAAGGCTCAGAGCAGTTACATTGCTCTTTATTTTTAATGCCAAAATTAAACAAAGGTTTCTTCACTGACGCAATAAGCTCTGACAAAAAAATGAGTGGAGACCGCTCCAGTAACATGCACCCTGGATAAAACACCGAGTGTGGGGTGGCTGTTATGCTTGGTATCCCCATAAATGCTGTGATTTGGTGATGGATCCAGCACAATGGCGGCATGGGGCTCGCACCAGCCAGGGCAGGTTGCGGGGCCTGGGGCAGCGGCATCACTGAAAATATGGGAAAACCAGCCCAGATCTGTGCTCTGTTGGGCGACTTTCCATGTTGCCCTGCTCAGAGACCCCATTACCAGCAAGAATCACAGACTTGTTAAGGTCGGAGAAGACCTTTAAGAGCATCGACTCCAAATCCCATGAATGCCTCCTTGCAGAGCCCACGCAATGGCGAGGTCCTCTCTACCTGCTCAGCTCTTAAGTACAAAACGTGTCAAATGCAGTGAGGAAAAAAGTCTGTGGGCGAAAGCGTGGGAGCTCCTGCTGCACAGCAGAGCTGGGAGAACATCACCTCTCCTTCCTCCAGGCAGGCCAGGGACAGGGATTTCTTAATATTCAGGTTTTATATTTCACACCTTCTTCCTGAACAGGTTTTTTTTTCACTAATAAGGCTTAGGGAAAAAACCCACAACACGATTTCCAAGTTGGATTTCAGGGTTTCTTTCCAACAATATCTGCACCATGAGCAGATTGGACATACAAGGTGGGAGATAATTGTGTGCTGTGTCATGTCCTTTATTGGATCAGTATTGACCTGGGACTTTTCTCTGAGAAGGTAATACCAACCCTGCGACGCAATTCTCTCCAGGTTGGTTTAAGTAAAATAATAGAGTTAATGACAGAAGCAAAGCTACCTAGAGAGGTGTAATTCATCATGGAGTGTTTCATGCCATTATCTTAAAAACATACAGTGTAGTAATCACTTGAAGTAGTGATAACACATAATTGTATGCTTCTCATAAATTATAGGTGAATGGGAGTTTCAGCTAATGAGTGCCAAATAGCAGCTCAGGAACTGCAGTGATTACAGAAGATGTGGTGATGCATGCATTTATTATTGGGGTATTACAAATCTTTTTATAGCAGAGACGGCGAGTTTATAAATAAATAACCAGCCGCAGAGGTACCTGCACGTCTAACCAAGACAACTAAGCTATTAGCCTGCAGTTTAACCAGCCTCTTATAGAAACACATTTTAAAGCTTGGGGAAAACAAAACAAAGCAAAACAGGGAACACAGAAGCCCCACCCAAACATCTGCATCCACGGGTCCCCACATACAGCTTTGCCACCGCTTGCAAAAGACATGCTGTGGGAGCATTCTCAACAGAAAAACAGATTTTTACATCATTTTACACCACGCACACAAAATGATGAAAAGCAACGATGCTGCTTTACGGTGCAAAGAAAGTGAAGAGCTCTTTCTCGATGACTGGTTGGGAGTAGCCCCGGCGGCAAGCAGGGCTAGTGGCACCGCGGGGAGCCCACCCTTCAAAAAAAAAAAAAATAACAAAAACCCCCTCACATCCAGGATTGTGAATTCCTTCTTCCTCTGCAACATCGACCGTCAGAAAATGCTTTTATCTGGCAACAAAAACCAGCAATGTCCCTTCGGAGCTTTTGTCCCTCCTCTGCAGGAGGGCAGAGGTGGCAGCAGCACTTGGGGGAGCTCCATGAGCCCCGCTTCTGGGGGCTCGCCTCCTCCCACAGCCCCCCAGCACAAACCAGTAACTCCTACATGCTCTGCACTGCTGCATCACAGAGTCGCAGAATTACAAAATCATAGAATCACAGAATCACAGAATGTTGGGGATTGGAGATCTCTAGAGATCACCCAGTGCCACCCCCTGCCAGAGTAGGGTCACCCAGGGCAGCCACACAGGAACGCGTCCAGGCAGGTTTGAAAGTCTCCAGAGCAGGAGACTCCACACCCTCTCTGGGCAGCCTGCCTGGCCTGCCGGCACCCTCACAGGGAAAAAGTTTTTCCTCATGTTTATGTGGAACCTCCTGTGCTCTAGCACATTGCCCCTTGTCCTTGTCCTGGGCATCCCTGAGCAGAGCCTGACTCCGTCCTCCTGACACTCCCCCTTGACGTATTTATAAATATTTATGACGTCACCTCTCAGCCTTCTCTTCTCCAAACTAAAAAGCCCCAGCTCCTTCAGCCTTTTCTCACTAGGGAGATGTTCCGCTCCCTCCATCATCTCTGTGGCTCAAAAAAGGAGGATGCATCCCTTCACCCCCTGCACCCCTCACCCCCTGCACCGCTACACCCTCTATACCCGTGCACCCCTGCACCCCTGCCCT